ACATTAAATTACTCACACGCAAGCAAACACGGACAGACGCTAGTGACCTATATATGACCCATCTATACCTTTGTCTGCAGTCTGACTCTGGAAATTATTATGTATACTATGGACTCCGAACAAGGTGTATTCCATGGGTCTTCCTGCCAATATGACCACGTTACGAAAATAAGGTCCTTGGTCTTCATACCTTCGATTAGAAATTATTGTACTTCTTCGGCTCAACTGATACCCATTCGTACCTTGAGCATCCTATTTGCAATTTTATACGTTTATTTCCATGATTCTTGCTTTTTCCCTGTCTCCTCCAATTTTTTTGCTTTAATCTAGTCTCTTTTCATGATATAATATCGGTCGGCGTCTACACGACACCCTGCCTACGCTACAAATCTGGAGGACTTTATCGTCTCGCCTGGCAATTGACACTCTCATCTGCCGATCAGTTTAGTCGGCCTGATCCGTCCTTGGATTCAGATAATGAGAGTGGATTTAAAAGATCCACTTCTGAAATTTGGCGATCAGATTTGGCCAGTTATAGTGGGTTTTCCAGTGATGCAGAAACGACTGCTTTTTCTGTTGGTCCCAGCCTCTATGAGATGCATTTGGGTTCCAGCTTTGATCGATCCTATCCACCAGCAAGAATGTCTACATGTCATCTGGCCGCCTCCGTTGCCTTGTCTCTCTGCCAGGATGCGAAAAGTCTGTTTCCTTTGTCAGATTCGTCGATCTCGGATGTCACCCGGAAGACGTTGCCTAGCACGCAGCCGGTGCGTTTCTCCTCCTTATTCGACGACCCCGCATTGCCCCAGTCTGCTGACGAGACGCATATTCGTCCAGAAGAACAGTGCTCCGCTCTCCAGGCGACCACCAACTGCTTCACTGATTGTCTCAAATCCTCCATGAATGAGTCCTACCTCTTGAACCGTCTGCCGGGCGTCAGTGTGGCGCGAGCTCTGACCACACTGACCGCCGGCGCCAGTCTCCTGGTTGGGCTTCGTTCCGATTTGACCGGGCTGACTTGTCGACTAAACGCACGAGATCAGTCGATGCCTCTTACCCTCTGTCTTGCCAAGAAGGTTAGCACAAGATTATGGTTGACTTTACGCTGGAATCTTTAGTTAGGCTGGCAGAAACGGGAACAGTTAGCCGCCGTTTTCTACCAACTCTTGGAGACTGCCAAACTGACTGGAATTGCTGTATACAGGCATATCTTTCATTTCGTTTTGACCAGGTGGATGTAGGGAATTCGCAATTTGGCCCCACCGGATACCGAAGGATGGTTGCTTTTGATTTGCGACTGTTGAATTTTGCGAAGAAGACCTCGACTCATCGTCCTTCCACGCCGATAACTCCGTATTCAGCTTTCGTCCGTTATGTAATGGACATCGTCAGAGACAGAAACCATTATTTACGTACACTCAACAAACTCGCGAGTATTGCATACACATAACGCACACGCACCCACGAAGCTAGAATAAGCCCCAGAACTAAAGGATAATACGCCAGTCTACTTACATAGAGAAAAGTTGTGACCACATACCCTCCTCTTCCTGCATCACTTTCACTCAAATGCATGAATGTAGGACGAGTATAAAGCAACTAACCAAATCATGGAATGCCTCATTAAGATCGCTAAGTGAGGGATAAAAAGTAAGTAGCATCTCATCTGGTCACCTTTATTCGTTTGGTGTTTTTAGGTGATTGTTCGTGAATGATGGTTGATGGGTCTGACGATGTCCGTCACATGACGAACAAGAGCTCAATATGGAGTCATCGGGGTCACAAGACGGTAAGCCCTGGTCTTCTTCGCACAATTCTAAAATCACAAGACTAGGGCACTCCTCCTTCAGAATCCGGTGGGGCCAATTTACGAATCTTTTCCACTCACCTTTTCGGACTAAATAAAAGGTGGGCTAGTATCAATCTACTAAGAGGTTCTTCGAAACGCAGTTTCTATTCATACATTTCTGTATCCAGTCTATGTAATATACTTCGACCAATTTTGTCGACAGGATTATTTTTACCTTCTGTTCTTGCTTTATAGTCAGACTTCACTTGATCTACTTTCTAGCTATCATTTGGAGTATCCGTGCCTAGTTTGCATAAGGTCTGACGTGAAATCAACTTTTGCAATCAGAACAAAAACAGCTGTTGGGACACAAGCTACAATAAAATTATTATGGTCTAGTGGAAAAATGTTTCACTCTTTGTTTCTTGTGTGGGCTAATTTAAGCCTCGTTCTGCATAGAACCATTCTTCGTTGTAAAATTATTAACAGATACTTGAAACCTACTTTATATCAAGATAAGTAATGCAATCACTTGTAATGACACAATACTAGTTTTGCCTTATCTACAATCCCATTATAAATATGCTATGGAAGAGGTATGGCTTGTTTTGACATTCGCGTCTGCCCTGTAACTTAATTGCACCTATGACGGTGTAGCATTGTGTCAACACGTCGAGATTATTCGCTGTCATATCTGGGTTTGATTCCATTTGGGGGTATGGATTAGACCTGGAAGTGGTCGAAATTTTAGTTCATCATGGAGGAAAATATCTTTTGGAAAGCAAGGCTAATTGGACTTGAATGGAAACGGTGGTGACTGAAACTCTTATTCAAGGTTTACTTATAGTTTTGAAACCTACTTTTTGTGGATATCTCTGCAAAAGGCTACAAATGGATTGATTAGAATGACTGGAGCCGAAGTAAACTTTACGCTTTTTTGGGTCTGTCCCTATCTTTCAGGTATTTTTGTCTTGGCAGTTAGAATCTTCCCTGGTCTAAATAGTTTTTTTGCCAATAATGTGTTTTGTAACGTCCTCATACGTGGTCCTTCTCGAGCGTGTTGTTTCTTCTAGCGGAAAACAACCTTTTTCGCCCAATTGATTTGCATGCCTGCTCAAAGGAACTCAGATATAAGAAGCTTGAGCCTATCTCATCAAGGGTATTAATTTTTGGCATTCCGTCTATCTATATGACTTTTTCTCTTGTCTATTTCCTCTTTATCTATCCTTAGCTATTCACCTCTTTACTTATCCGTTTATCCTTACTTATAGTGCCACTCCATATTGTACCACTGTATATGCCATCTATTCTAGAACGTTTTAATACCATTGTTTATACTTCTTCTTCAGGTAGCTGGTTTTCGCAGACTACTCTCTTGCCCCTTGCTTCATGGATTAGACCTCGACAGTAATTTGCAAATGCCTTTTGAGGATCTTAATCGCCTGCTTATTCAACTCACAGCTCTAGACACCATATACTATCCACAAGTTGGGTAAGTATTTCTCTGAGAAGTATTCATTCACCTTAAAACATATAAAACTATATTTCCTTCATACTTCTGCAAAAACAAAATAATAGAATGTCAGGCTATATTTTCGACCTCTCTTCTGCTCGTTTACAGCCCTTATTTTATTCAGTTAACATTCGCCTTTTATGCACCATACAAACTTTTCAAGTGATTGACACAAAATTAGCGAGCTATCTGGAGAATCCTATCTCCTAAGTAAGCTCAAGTTGAATATTTCTTTTTACACACAGTGAATATGTATTCCGTCATATAGGTTCCGACTTCGTTGAAATAGAAAAGTGGCTTGGCTTGGTTTTACAAAACTCTTGCATATTTTCACTGCTTACACCTCACCTTACACCTCACCAAGTTCGATGTCATGTTTCTTAACCGCATTATTGGTCATATTACTCTTCCAACTTTAAATCTGTTTTAGTGTATTCTTCGACCCAGACGATACAATTTCTCTTCCTTTGCCTTACTCAAGTTTGGCTCGAACTACATCATTACAGTATACCTTATTTATTTTCATTATTCGTTTTTTTTCTTACTACTACTTCTTATTTGCCTTTATCCTTGATAGCTGCTATGGCCTTTTCATGTTTGAGCACAATGGCAATGCACCTACTTCACCTACTTTACCTATTTACTTCTTTTTTTTCTACACCTACTCATTCCCTTCTTACTTCCACATCGGCTACAGTTTCATGCTTTCTCAATATAAAACTTTTCTTATACACTTCTTTTATTCAGAGACTTAGCATCATTTATTCGGCTTGAGCTCATGAGTTTTGATTGAAAGCGAAAAAATATCGTTTACAGGCATGTTGTTTTGAAGAATCCCGTTCTTCTAAGTTTTCGAACCTTATGCCAGGCTATTTAACCTCTCATTACTGCGTAGCTTGCTCTCCTGTCACATGATTTAAGCTATTTCATTACAGGAGATCTCGAATGAAGTTTTATGGTGACGCATTTGTCTTCTTTCAGGCGCTTCTTCAATAAATTAGGCGTATCGGCAGCTTTTTTTTCGCCACTCATTTATTATCTTACTATATAATGTACTTGTCGAACAGAGGGCATAAATAGTTGTCTTTATCAAAGTTTTTTGCAGAATCGAATCACAATATTATAGAAGTTGTTTGACCTTGTTTTCGCAACTTGGTCATATTGGCAGGAAGACTTAGAGGATCGCATCTAGTCCGGAGTCCATTGTATGCATGATCATTTCCAGTCGGACCGTGGACTTGTTACATTCCCCGATGGATTGTTTCTTGAATATCTTTGCATACAAATT